AATTGGATACTAAACAGATGATATCATCCGTTAAACAATCAAGTCCGGCTACAAATGAGTGCCTTATGTGGTGTCACCCGTTAGAAATTGGATTACTAATGAAAAGAAACAATACCGGGACTGATAAATATTCTACCGTCGTCATCATCATCATCACCATCATCAGAAACACCGTCAACAACGTTATCAGTGAAAATAGACATTTTGTGAGTGAAGCCAGCCTGTGCTGAACAGTCGAGAATCACTGTTCTTCACGCCTTTTCAGCATAGACTTGCTTCACTTACAGGACAAAATCTTCATAAAAATTCCCACTCACAAAGTCTTGAGAATTAATGATCCAACTCAGCGTACTTCTTTGAAGTGGCTTAGGAGTTGATGCAGGCTATTTGGCTAATTTGGGCTGAATTTAACTGACCTTATTCTTCCGAGAAGAAAACAAAACCGCAACATGCATCACAGATTAGGTTAGATATCACGAAGATACGGTGACGTTTGAAATTTTGCTTCGTTTGATATCGTCTAGAAATTAATGCTTTCACTAATAATGTGTAGTTCCGTGTTTTCATGAAGGAAACTACTCACAGGGTTACTGGCAACTATTCAGCGGTCCACGACCGATTCCACTAATCTTAGGGATCATTAGGTAGGCGCAGCCACTGATTTGCCATCAGCCTGATGTTCTACTCTAACCCAAACTGGACAGACCTCGACAAATACATCTATTTGCATATCAACTGAGCTTTCAGAAGAGACTCAACTAAATCTCTCGTTTATTATATCATATCCTTGAATGTGCTGCACAAAGCCCGCCTCTTGTTTCAATTGGCACGATACTGGGGATATCGCGGTATATTTTCATGAAGGAAACTACTCACAAGTTTGCTGTAGTGGTCCCGTAGTTAGGTGACCCACTTGTTCACAGTTTGTTGAACTCACATTAGTTGCATCAGCTGTTGTGACATGAGTCATGTTGTCGCGTCTGAGAGCATCGAACGCATTCTCTGCTTGAGGTTGGAAGATTTTGGCTTTGGCTTCTTCGGGATTTTTTGCAATTCAGTATTGTTGGCCAATCAGGGTGCTAAGTTACTCAGCCGCTGCCTATAACAGGTTATTATTTCTAGTTTTAAAGGACGCTAGGGAGTGTCGGAATTCAGGCACAACTGCAGGGATGCTTTCTTTGCCCCATTTGTGTTTCTCTGGAACAATTATTGATCGGAATCGATAAACAACGGCTCTACTGACGCAGAGTGCTTAGCAAGTTGGGGTGGGAGCTAGCTAGCTTTTCTAGCTTACAGAAATTAGGGAGTATAACCGATTACTTCGCATTCTAACTTTTTATATTGGTGAAATTGTTTTTATATTAGACAGTTTTATACTGTGCATCACCGCTGAACTAAACGATAAAGTGCATTCAACGAATGCAATCAGTGGCCAACGAAATTTATTGCAATAACTCCAGCGATTACTTTGGAATGCCTGCTTGCTTGCATCTGAAGGTACGCAGTTTTCCAGAGGCTCCTAGGGTGCTTTCTACTCACCCAATGACACATTTATTTCTCCTGTAAAGTGAATGCACAATATCCCTTAAAAAAGACCTAACGTAACGTTTTTTGCGCCGGTGACACCATGCACACAGATTTCCGTTCCTTGAAATGGCACCCGTGTGGTCCTTGCTGCATTAACACATGCCATAGAATAAGGATCTTCGACATACACAATGTCCCTTTGCGTCTTTAAATTATCCTTATAAGGCAATTCACATCATCTCACTTAGTTTCCCCTTAGTAACGTCAAGTTTTCTTCACGTGACGTCAGACTAATATTCACTCAATTTACTTATTAACTGCCAATACAATCTCAACACACGTTTCCCTGACTTTCTGGTACTTACTAATAAGAGTATACATAGAGGCAACTCAGCCACCACCGTCCAAAACGTGTGTCTCAAAAGTGCCAAACAGATTCGGTTTTAGTAGAGTGATGGTCTTGAGAAGGAGATAAGAAAACGTAGCCCTACGGCTGCTGCAGCCGGCGACACAGTCGCATCAAACAAATGATTGGTCCAGGGGGTTCCGTGTGATGTAGGAAGTACTGTAATCACACATAGCCTTGTGCACTAAGCTAAAGACCTGATCGAGCAAGTAGATGGATGTGAGGTGTGCACAATAATACGGTCTGCCATATGCACTCCAAAGAAGAGCGTTTACATGAGAAAGACACCGAGTTTTCGCTAAAATCTAGCTGCGTTATTATCATAAAATATATCCCCAGAAGCCATCTGTGGTCGTTGTGAGGATTTCCACTGATTTAGTCTGAAAACTAATTCTGCAGAGGGACAGAAGCTCACCGTAGAGCACATTGCAAAAAAATGAGCGTATTACGTCAACCCTACGAAATTCAAAGCTTTGTATACTATGAGACTGTGAAGTTTGCAAAGATCACCGGTCAAAGTTGGTTTTGTCATGCACCCTGCAACGGTCAAATAATCTTCCACAGCTATCGTTCGACACTGTCACCTAAAGAATGCTGAGTACGCCACCAACGGGAAGCTCGTCTCACCAGTATTGACCACTACTGTTCTTCACCACCACTATTTGCTTCCCGTAACCATAAGGGCTTGAATTCAACCATATAAAGAGCTCAGGGAATTACCCATTCAAAAAGTCTTCTGTGAGCTTTCTTAGAGAACTTTTGGGTCCCCAGAATAAATTCATCGTTCCGTGAAAATTCAATGGTATTCTTAGCACTTGCGGACGTGTCGTTCTACTGTCATTCTAACATGAAACTTACAATACTTGGGATTCGAAACACACATGAATTACGACCTGTCGGAGCCGGAACATCAGCACGAAACCACGACATCTCTCTTCAATATCTGGTCCTCGAAAGCGACTTTATCTAACCACCTCATTCACAGCACATCAGCTAGTTCGAGGGTTACAGTTAGTTCATCACCGTTATGACCGCAGTCGAATGCTGAAGCTGACAGGTTTGTTCAGGTACACAATAACATCCTTCCTATGGTCTCTGGATAGTCGTTCTTAAGCGTTGAGTTCAGTGGACTAGACAACGCAACTTAGTTCACCCACATATATCGTTATGGTTCCAGATTGGGCTATGGAGATAAGCACATTAGTTTGTGAAACAAAGAGATTTTGGCTAATTTTCGGACATGGGACGCGAGGATAAATTGCCTAAGAAAATTTCATCGTTATGGTTCCAGATTGAGCTACGGAGATAACCGCATTAGTTTGTGAAACAAGGAGATTTTGGCTGATTTTCGGACATGGGATGCGAGGATAAATTGCCTAAGAAAATTTCATCACATCCGGTCGCACACGGCAACAAGGGGCGAATGTCCCATATGAAATACAACCTAGAAACACAATACCGGTAGAAGACGGAAGCTTATTGGGCCCTCTGGAAGTTTTCCCGAATTTCGTCCCACGGGAAATTGCTTCACACTCTCTGGAAAACCATTGTGCTGTAAATTGAATGATTCGTCAAAGGCAGGGGAGCAGGCTTAAAAATGTATCGAAAACAACTTTTCTTCAAGACTGCAGGGGACCGTATAGGCAAAATGTGAAGAGAACTCGTACCACTAACATTTTTCGCCATAAGAGTCACTATTTAGTTCATGGATATATAAGCCCTAACCAGTTCCGCTTTTAGGCTAACTTGCTCGGCCTTGAGTACTTGTGAGCCCGAATATTATCTGCCTAAAATCTCGAACTCTCAGACCAACTTTCTCTATCATCGAGTTCCTTGTAGCCACTACTGTGTCACCCACCACTGCTAACCTGTTGGTTCGCATTTTTATATTGTCTCTGCCACCTCTGTTGACACACACCGTGAATGGATCAATTGAGTATGTGAAGTTTTCTGCGCGATGCAGCCCGGTAAGTCGATTGGGAGGTCATCGGCCCTGTATGTTAGCAGAACTAGCCAAAGTTTCTATTGATCCGTCGTGTCGTTGCTCGATGAACAATATTATGACCCTTGACAATGCTGATGTCTCCGTTTCTCTTTACACCTGAACTGACCTATTTACATAGGTCTTCTTGTGTCCATGAGACAGTGGATTCGGACAGCATGGTAAGGAAAATGTTTCAAAGTTGAGGATAAAAGGGTCGGTTGAAGACCGCATACGATAGTGAACCATGATTTTGTGATGCACATCGTATGGCGTGAGAACGTAGCAGTGGATAGTGGTCAACTATCAACACAAAGTATACAGCCAGACATCGACTCATATCCATGCACGAATATTCAACTCAATTCTATGTGAATACAGCAGTCGTTTATTTCTTCACAAATGGTTTATTTCAACAAATGACCGTCAGGTAGAAGGGTTGAATGAGAAAATTCGCAATAAATTGGTCGGAATGCTTGACTCAAGTATCCCACAGATGCACCTTAGCGTATCTGGTGACCACGACAGCATGGTTGGTTCACATAACAATCAAGAGAGCCTTCAGCGGTAAGTCACTTCGCACACACACACACACACACACCACTTAACACTCGTAAACATGTCCAGAGAAACGCAGACAAAAAGATTGCTTGGTTTGTGACCAACAGATGCCTGCGGCAGAAGTAATCATACCGAGACAACAGGACTGCAATCAAACTTATCATTCATCAAAAGTGGACATAGTAATTTACCACATGCGGAAGACCTTGATTCTATAAACCACCGCTATTTTCCAGTATGTTAGCCAATTTCCGTAACGAGATTTTGAGTGAAATCATTTAGCAAATGGATAGGGTACAGATTAGTAACCTCTCAATGGACTTTTGTCTTCTGATTGGGAGAATTTTTTGTTTCTTTGATCAATACGGAAAACAATGGTGTGTTCACTTAAAGTGGAAAAATCTCGTGAACGCTGCAACCTAATTCAAATTTTTGTTATAAGTTGTCTGGCTTGGCAGCAAGACCTGTTATCAAGATGTGTTACACGTGAAACATTATTAATCCCAATCTTTTTAATTTATGCAGGAGAAAAGCAATACAAATTTGAAGAATTTCTACCTTGCTACGAGGCGATTTTGAAGGAGAAAGCGGCCGGTACATTTGCTGACTACATGGAGGCCTTCAAGACATTCGACCGTGAAGGCCAGGGTATCGTTTCCGCTGCAGAAATGCGACATGTCTTGACGGGATACGGTAATCTGACTTGTTTTCCCTTATGATCTTTCTCCTCAGGTGAGAAACTGAAAGAGGATCAAGTTGATCAGATCCTAAAATTTATTGACCTGCGTGAAGACCTTGAAGGGAACGTCAAATATGAAGGTAGACTACTAATTTAAGAAACAGATTACATTTTCCAAACTCTTGCAGACCTCATAAAGCGAGTACAGGCTGGTCCCACAAAGTAAGGAATTCACAGGATTCGCAACAATAATGATTCACCCTTTCACTCTTCTCTCACCGAATATGTACTGGGACGAGCCATCCGTCAAATCATTCAAACCAGTTCGAAATCATAATAGCTTGTAGCATTTTTCGCCGAGCAAAGTAGAGTCAAATGTTTTCCTCTGAACATCTATCTAAGTTCCCATTTCCGTTGATCTTTGAAAGCCAAAAGTTGCTCATAAACAGTTTCATTTCCGTGAGGTTTTCACGATGATATTCCCCTCTTTTTCGTTTTCATTGTTATTTGCATATAACCTGTCCTCGCACCCTTCTTGTTCTTTGGAACCATTCCGTTATCATAGTGCAAGTGGGAGTGATATGGGAGGAAGAAGCAAGGATGATTACCTCGTCGTATATTGTAGGTCCGTAGCATCACCGTATGGAGTTGAGGACAATACCAGGGACAGTCTGTTATTCATTCGATCAAGCAATAAGACAATTGTTACGCGTGAAAGTGCCAGTAGATGGGTAGGCCTCAAAGCATAGGCCAACGTTACGCACCGGCGGGCAGTTGATCATTTTCATAATTGCGAGCTGCCTTACTTGATAAAAACAAGACAGTGGAGCATTATCAAAAAGGTTCACATATTTCCTATTTGCAAAGAACAATCCAGTTGCTGTCCGAGAATTACTGTACACGCGCAGCCGGCGTATGTGGCACAACTTTCAGAGTGGATATAATGAAACCCCACCAAAGCAGGATCTTGTTGATTCGGTCAACCTGGTTTCATCCCCACACATAAAGCCATTACCCATGCCGTTCAGACAACGCAGACTCAAAGACCCCTGACTGTGTTAGGATTACGCTAGGTGCATCTGATAAACTACAGTTATGACGACGTTTTGTGGATCACTCATAATGATTTACGAATAGTCTACTTAGGTTTTTAGTTTGCTGGCACGAGGGTTATCCGGACAATCTTTAAGGAGTTTCCCAGGTTTCTGCAACCATGGTTCATACGGTAATCCAGTGTCACGTGGTTGCACTTACACTTGTGCTCCGATGATTCTCAAGGCGGTTTGTAATATGACTATTTTCTAGTTTTCCCAGAACAATGCTATCTTGACAAAAAAACTGGGGAGAAGTCAGGTAAGGAGGTGACTATCTCCGCGTTGTATAGGTTGCCCATGTTCATTGTGAAATAGAGGTTATCAATAAACCTTCAATTTGTCTTCGTATGATATGCAATATCTTGTTCTGTATAATTGCAATATCTTTTCTTTGTCTCAACACGTTAGCCTATCAATGAAATCCTAAGTGATACTTTGATGAACCTGTTCGCAAAGATTAGGTTGGCAGTGGTGTACACTATGGGGACCGTTCCGCGTTCACTTCAGCATTACCAGAGGTCAGTCTAAGTTTCACGTTCAACTCCACACAGAACACACATATTATAGGAACTATGGCATTTTCATTGGCCCACAGTACCTATGGTGTTCCCCGTGGTTTCCGATATTTCGTCTCACTTGATAATCAAGCTATAATGATGAATTCAACCCAAAAGTTCCTTTCTCCACCCTCTTACAACTTACAGAGTGAGGGTCCCGTTCTTTCCCCCAAATATGTAAGAGTGTAGACGCGGGAAACTTGGTCAAAACTTTATTAGACTCCAACACGAATTCTCACCATTTTATATCCACAGATCACAGTACGATCTCCCATCCGGATTCCGGCAGTGCGTTCGTTCCAAGTGTGCTCGGGCGTACTCAGGTGTCCAGGCTTATAGGTAAATGGATACTATTTCTAATGGCCCACAACACAGTTCACAAAGAATGATCAATAGGTACATGCATAAATTGATGCGAATTCATGTATTATCCCGTATGCTGATCAAGGTCAGGCAATCCGTGTCCGCGCCAATCCGTGTCATTGGTCTTGCCCAGTCACTAGTGATCGTCGGCCCAATCCGTAGTTACACTAAGCTGCTCCATTTTGGAATATACGATGTCACGATGGCTTCGCGGATGCGATCGGCAATCTACTTTGTTCCCGAGAAGGGGATGTTCTAGATAAGTAGTAGTCTTACCGGATATTACACCAAAGCATTACTGTCTGGGAAAGCTACTATATGCTGACCATGGAAGCATTATCCTTCTATATGGGTTTCACCTCGGACCCACTGTATTATAGTGGTTAGGGAGTTTGTTTTGCCATATAAGACAATATACTTTTCTAGCCGACTTTTGTCTGGACGAATTATTATTATTGTTCCTTATCTCGTTACGGCAAAACTCGGCCCGTACGCCTTTTGGAAATCTGCTGAGAATTCTGACCAGTGCATGAGCTGCGGTTTCAAACTTCTATTCGAGCTTCGAGTATTTCGTATGCAAAAAGGGTTTGGACTCATTTCCGCAGGAGTCTTAAGATAAAAAGTATTCAGCATCTATGCGACCTCATCATCATGAATAATAACCATTCATTTACTCCTAATAAGCTACTGATCGAGGATATTTTTGTGTGTACGACAACCCATCTTGAAGTTGACGGCACTGCACACAGACAAGTGGACGATCTTGTTATGACTAATTCACTCCAGCTGGTATTTTTTCTGAATCCGATTCTGAGATAGTATTTCGAAAGAATCTCTTTGCCAAACAAGGATGACATTCTCATCTATTCATCTGCTAATAATTACAGCTCAGAATCAAGTATTTTGAATATTGTTCACTGAAATATGTCTGTAGCTCGTTAGAGTGAGCCCAATCGGAATTTAGCCACCCTTAGTACATTGCTTGTTTGGATGAGAGTTAGCAACATACCTTCAATTGTAAAGCTGCACGCAATGATTAACTTCCATTTCGTCAACATCTTTCCGATGAGCTTCTGGAGGAATGCAAATAAGGAAGCAACGTCCAACAACAAACTGGTTGCCGCGTTGCTATTTCAATTGCTGTTTCTGTTTCATCAGCTTGGTTGGAGATCGAATAAGGTTAAAAAAGGAAAAGACTATGCGTTGCTTATATGCTTTTATTTCTTAAATATTCGGTTGCCATGGCTAAACTATGAGGGCCTACATCGTAAGACAAAATTTGCATACGCACGCACTTTATATAGATGACAACTTGTTCCTCTCTCCGAAACATTTCCGCTTTGATCAAAGACATTTTACGGTCATTTTCCCCCGAACCAAGCATGTGAGCCTCGAAGGATCCTAGAAGATATGACAAGGTGTTGATGAGTATCCGCGTGAAGTACTTCCCTACAACATAATTCATCGCTGGGAAGTCGATGTATTGAGATCAGCTTTTTAGAGCATGCACTCACCATTAGCAGCAGCATAACATCGGTGTTAAATGGCGATGCTTCGCCGCCGTACAAGCATGATTTATTTGGAAGCCTTATTGTGAAAAAATGAATAAAGGGGGACGGGGAAAGGACTTAGAGCTGCCTTACTACAGTCATTCCGAGGTGCCTTCACCTCCAAACACTCATTCAGGCAACCTGGATAGAAACTGACAACAAGATGGCTGTTGACACCGGCTATAAGATATATCTTGCAGTATCTCCAACCAAGCGCAATGAGGATCACGCGGTGCCCATCCTGGAAGGTGAGTAGCACTGACAGCACCCAAACCTTCCGTGATTACTTTCATACTCCTGTGCCAGGTCCAGGATTGGCCATCTCTCTGAGTTGGGCAGCAGACTATGGCTAGGCATACGCAAAACATGTCCCAACCAACGCAGCTTTTGGTGCCGGATATATACTTCAATGGAAGTACCCGGTGCACAACCGAAAACTCGTTTCCCAACTGCCTCGTTACGGATACGCCGACACCAGCCCACACGAACTATGGTTCTGAGACAACGATTGTTGAACACATGAAGACGTCCCAGTTCCGCTACCCGAACAAGCCAAACAGCAAAACAGCCCACACTGTAGCTTGATACACACGTCCTTTGAGATTCAGGGATAAACAGCTCTGATGCGATAAGTGTCTCAAATTAGCAAACACTACCCAAGCCTTGCAGATTCGTGCATTCACTTCACCCGTCGCACTACAGTCAGAACTAATACAACTTCCAAGATACATAAAACGCTTCACAACTTCGAGTGCTTCCCCCTGGATTGTAAATGGCGTGTTCAGTGAATGCATATCCAGGCGCGTGACCTTGCACTTTGTGGGTGCAAATTACATACCAATGGACAGGATAAGTTTGGTCAGTTCATCCAAGAATACTTGCTCCTCCTCCTCCTTTCTGAACGTACGAACGATCACCTGCTTTAGAAAAGTGATCCTTACTCAATTGCTTTGCTTTGTACTGCGCTGAGACCATTACAGTCGAGCATCAATAGCATTCAAGAAATACAAGTTCAATATTTGTCACCGTTTATTAAATCACGAAGCACAAATCACTTACCCGAGTCACCTCGCTGCAAGCAAGAATGTAGTCTTTCTGTCGAAGCAACCGGGTCGGGTGTTTGGCGGATAGAACTTGACAATGGCTTTTAAAGCACTGCAACTAAGCTTTCGTGCATTACACTGGCTTAACATAAATAACTGGGCAAAAGACAGTGTCTTTCTTCGGTCATCTAATTTGTTTATTTCGCCTCCGACCAAATCGTTTCAGTTCACTCGGATGTATATAACTCAAGCCGAACTTGCCTCAAATGTATCTGAATGTTATGAACCAGACAGTCTTCATACTTGCTCTAGAACTCTCTTTGGGTCACGATGATTGAAACTTGCCAGACTGTTTCATTAGTCTTGAAGAAATCTAAGATCAACCACATCCTACTCAGTGTTTTTGCAGTCTCACTCAACGTCATTGGTACTGACAGGTTTAGTGTTTGAAATCTGGACCGAAAAATTACGCCTTTAATACCCTGTAATTTACAAGTTTTGCAGAATTGACTAGGTATTCTGGTCTCCTTCAAGAGCATTTGAGAAAAACAAACATAAAATATAACTGTTTCTCCTGGCATTCCGTAGGCCTTCCTATCGAATAATTGTTGTCCCAGTCATTGACAGATGAACGTTGGTGTTGTTCAAAGAAGCGCTCTTTAAATCTTACATTATGGTATCAGAACAGGCACAACTATGCTATTTGAAGGTGAACGAGCTGATTCGCATTACCTGGTCTAAATGCGCAACCTTGCAGTTAGTACACATGGTAAGACGCTGTGCCAAACCGATAAAGTCGGGCTCACAAGCTATTCGCAAACTATATCGACATGTAAGACATAAAGTAAATAAGTTATGACTTCGCGGTTGGTGGGTCAGGTGAGTGGATTGTTTAGATTTCTGTGTGGCTTACCCACCCGAAATGTTTTTGGCTTAGCAGTGTTATTGTGGATGAATAAGTCAACAGAAATACTCTTCACATCCATGTTATGCTCGTCCGAAAGTCCTCTTCCTGTGCTTGCTCAGTTACTGTCGAGTCGGCACCAATGGGAACATTGAACATGAGTTTACTGTTGTTAGAGCTCATCAGTGGTGTATATCATCGGCTGCCCTGGGGTTCGAACTCCGGACGTCAGGCATGCGAGACGAGCGCGTTACTATTAAGTGGATGGCCTGAGCTGCCGAGGCTACGCTAGTGTTCCATTGAGGCACGCTCGACTGCACACTGTTTGGCCGACGTAACTGAAAATGTTGTCCTATGTACTCACAGCATTGCTCTACCCATGACCGTAACTGCGGCCACTCGACTGAACTTCTACTGCTGGGACCCAACCACAATTGGCAACTGAAAACGTATAAATTACCGATAGGTTGAAAACGGTACTTTCAGTGGAAAATTGAACTGATATAGCAAGGATGCTTCAAGCATTTACAAAAGCTTAGCTTGATTTGCTCGCCTTTCAGTGTGAGAGTTAGTCTACGTTCATTTTCCGTTGATCTGTGACCCGTGTTAGAAACAGACCGACGAAATGAATGAATTCCATTCCACTATCTACCCTCTTCGAACCGAATCGTATTCCCGTCGAATTAAATTAAGCAGTTGGTGCAGAATTTAAAACTTTTCTGCTTCATATTCAACTGTTGGTGAAAATATGACACCAAAAGCCCACTCTAAATTTCGGGCAAGATCCATAGACTACGTGATGCGATTTCTGTGATTGAAGCACAACAAACCCTATAACCCATCTAGGTTTGAGCAGTACGATCGACATTCACGTACTCATACAGGGCTTAACAATAGGAAAGTTAAAATTCTTAGTGATCAAGTCTATGTTGATAGTTTGGGATTGCAATTTTATGCTACGAAACTCACAACTAATGAGATAGGTGTTGGGATACAAATGTATTAGACTGTTTTCTGTGGGAATGATGCCGAATCCAACCTCAGATACTCCCTGTGTGTGTGTGTAAATATTCTGTATCCACAAGAGGAAAAGAGGATTATTGAATTCCAGACGCCTACCCTATACTTCACAGATGTTTTGAAGATAGCCCTATAGCTGTGTACGTCCTTGTGATAGTTTTTTCCACAGAATCAGCTCGCTGTATTCTGCAATGCTAAGAAGCGGTGGACTCGGTTGATTGCCAAAGAGGATCATGGTGCTGAAATGAATAGATGCAATGGGTAATATGTTCCAGCCAAAAACTTAACGTGTGTCAGCATGCGTTAGATGGAGTACAACACACGCCAGACATCGACGTGAATGGTAGCAAACCACTGTTCCCGGCTAATGTCTACTATTTTGGCATCATCCCGTCCGCGAACCAGTCGATCGACTGTGATTCCCGTGGGCGTTCAGACAAGCTTTGTGTGGTTTTCGAAAGCCAGGGGAATTATGGTACCACAGCCCACACGCCAACCAAACAATTGAGATACACCGTCGCAGTCTATTTCCCTCCAGACCCTACAGACAGGCTGGGTGCAAGCGTAATTAACCAATCCCAAGTCTCGTGTTGCGTGCAATCGATCACCTAACAGACGGATTTATTCGTAGCTGCAGGTCTCCATCCTGGCAGCAGTTGTTGTGGAGTTCACTTTCAACACTTTCGGTGCTGAACCCAGTTAAAAACAAGTACCATGGTAAGTCTCACTCTAATAAACTTTATAACAACTATGACTACTGAATCATTAATTAGTGAGGCCAGTTTAAATCGTAACGTTGGTACTGACATAACAGAATGAACTGCTGTTCGTACAGGACGAGGTTAACCTTAGGCAGCCTTCGTAAAGATATGCATACTCTTCAGAGTGAGTTTAGGGTGTCGAAATTCCCGAAAACTGAGAAGAGTTTATTGCTATAGAATCCCAGTGGGTGATGGTTGATGTCCTTATTATATCATAGCTTCTCGTGTTCTGGAGTTGTATGTGACTACTGCAGAATGTTCATTTTATAAAGTTAACCCTGCGAGTTGTCAGCACTCGTAAATCTGTTAAAAATTGGGATTCCCGCGGCTTGACCATAATTTGGATTCACCTCAGGATGGATTGCCCGTTAAAACAAAAACCTGTCAGCTTGGATAAGTCAGTTTCAAGTAGACAAACAACTTGTCAGGGCAAGCTTAACTTTCCAGCTCCATTCGTTTAGCCTTTGGATGCACGGTCTTTTCATCAATATGGTATAACTGAAGTCATCCACTTGATGAGCTTCAACAGAGCAGAGGAGCTTTGTACCACCAAGCTTTTGGGAACGGAATTCAGAATGGCCTTGGTGTACGCAACCCTGCTGCATCACATTGAGTCTCCTTCACGTAAAATATTTCTGAAGGACGTTATCTGGCTAGTTTTGTTCGGAAGCGAACACGAATTGTTCACCACCGGTCACTGTTCACTTTGCCACCTAAAGTTGCACTGTACACCCTCAAGGTGGTCGCTGCAATATTTCAGTGTTATCAAGGACTACTCATCTCGGCCAGTATTCAACTTTGTCGAACTTTCCGACAAGAACACAGAAATATGACACTAACACCCAAGTTGTAGTTACTTTCCGTTAGTGGAGCTACGGACACAAGTTCCCACACCATGTTTCCAATTCTCAGTTAAAGTCGTAGTTTTTATCTCAGGTAGTACAAGATCGACTGAGTTCACAGTACTTTACTGTGCCTTTCGATGTATTTTTTTACACGCTAGAGAAGATAAATCCCGAAAGACCTTTAAAGGCCACACATCCTACTTATATGTTTTCTTTGACTGTTGCTTTAGAGTGATAGACGCAAGAAACTATCTTCAACATAAGAAAGTCTATGAAACTTTGCCGTATCCCGGGAGAGGGGGACGATTTATTCCATATACTGCAGAAAAACTAAAGAAAATGCAATTTTTATTTTAAGGGTGATCTCCAAATAGGTCACCATATAAAAGTTCGTTTGCACTACCGGCAAAACACATTTGAAAGGGTAGGTGTGTGGAACCGAGGACTCAGGTGAATTGCACTTGAGGTAGTGCTGCTGCACGGAGACCGCCCCATGTTTTCTCTTGGAACATATTCAGAATTTAGACGTATGAAAGTTCTTGAATAGTCAACCACCAGCTTCCCAGTTTTTTGAACCAACAGTTAAAATAAATCCAGAAATCGCACTATTCTCATTCTAACTTAAACCTTGATGGACATATTTGCAGAAAAAAATTTCCCTTGGAAATTAAAGATGGTCACAGAAGACTCAATGGGAACGACTCAACCATTTCGTTCCAAAGAGAGGTGCAACATTTGTCCCATTTCCTCTTGAAATGTCCGCAAACAGCACCTCATAAATATCTGCAGGAGTGAGGTAGATCAGTGTTGAGATTCTCGATACGGAACTTTGAGTGACGCTTAGTTTCGGCAATCTTGAATATCAAAAAGGAAGAATTAGGTTCAAAATTCTACGTATCAGTCGAAAAAACAGGAGACTTGACTACTCAGCTATTTGACTGTAAAAAGAGGCCTCAACTCAACCTGTCAGAGGAAATAAGTATGTATATATGATCTTGAATGTTGAATTTTCATGCTCTAAACCAGTGACGAGTCATATCTGACCAAATATTCGTTTGTTGGTAGTACGCGGTGGTCTTTTAGTTTACGGTTTTGCACCCCATGGCTTATTCGCCGTTGTTAAGAATTAACAGCAGTGCGTATCTTGCAAACTTCTAGAAAGCTCCGAAACCATGAACCTCCGGTCACTAGGTGAAAACGTATCGTTAGGCCATCAGTGGCTGAGCAACACTGCAAGTAACCCTCAGTGGGGCATCTTGTGGCAACGCTCATCTTCCATTCATGCGAATCCCATCACCTGGTTGCTTTCTGCTAAGCTTCTCTAGTAACAGCTTCTCATATGGAAAACCTAAGCAATTCATGAGAATTATCCTCCCTCTCTGAGCCACCTATAGTTTACTGAGGGTATTCGCTCCCTCAGTTAATCCATCTATAAACATTTGTGAGCATTTATTAACATGAAACTGGAATTTAGGTTCATATGGTTGCCTCTTATAAATGGAAGTAGTAATAAAAAGCGTTAGAAAAAAACCGCAAATCTGGATTTTGTTGCTGCGCATTGAATGAAGCTGAAACATTCGCAAAATACACAAAATTAGAGGTAAGCAAACTTCTGGAATTACACCCGACTAACAATGAGGGAAAAAGAAATTTGCTTGAACGTGATCGAATTCGGAAAATTCTGAACCTTGAAACACTGGTTCCCCTTGTTCCACTTCATTAGAATGGAGAATAAACACAGGTGTGCCAAAAGTTCTGATTCTGTCTTCACTTGCAAGTGAAGAAGCAGTGGTTATCGCAACAAGCTTAGCCCCAAAATGTGGGTTGTGGTCGGTTCCTGGCTGGTCTGAATCATCACGCTGGTCTACATGGTGTTGTTGCTGTGTTCTATTTACCACTATTTCATGGACAGCTCAGTTTCCTATTTTGCTTATTCAGCAGGAAGAGCGGAATGGCCGATCTAACTCAGAGGTCTGTAGCACAGTCGATGATCTCCAGTTACCTGTCGCTGTCTTTGCTGTGAACCACTTATTTAGGAGATCGTGGTTCACAACCATAATCCTTGCGCTTTTTGTCAAGGAACTCTTAAATTCAGTGATAATCTTGACCGTCAGTGGTAAATATGGTCAGAATTTCTTTGGGAAAATAAAGTCAAGTGACTTTCATTATATGGACAAATTGTACGGTATTTTAAAAGGGTATTCCTATTGGAAAACGACCCAAAGAAAGTTGTGGTTTTCTGCCTACGAGGTCAGGAGGGCACCATTTAAAAATGAATTTGGTTAGTTCATGTATCAAGTCGGCTAATTACACTCAGACGATTAGCCAAAAGCACGTGGACCAATGTAATGCCTCACTTGATGTAGAGAGTAATCGTACTTGAGTCGAGCCACTGCAAATTTAAATAGCCATAGGAATGGCGACAAATAACCAACGGCCGGAAGATTGAAAGACAGAGGAGTTTAGAGAATTTTTCTAACTTTTATAAATAATTTCCATCTTACTCGGCTTCTCTGTAGCTTGACAGAAGCTTTTTCTCTTCATTGTGAATACGTGGATAACGTAGCTGTGCAAGATGTTCGCACAGTCATGGGAAGGACTGTAGTAGGTCAGTGGTTGAGCATATATTTCACTCCACTCTTTCTACAAGCCCTAAAGTCAAACACTTAGTTCTTATCAACGCTCGCCTTGACAAGTGACTGGAAAACTTCAAACTACGCCTCAATAGGAGAAGTTCGTACATGAGGAGTGCGTGAGTGTGGCACATGCTTCTTGAGGGTTGCTGAATCACTGACATTAAGGCTTAAGGAACAAATTTAGAGCACATTGGGCCTTATTCGGAATCTATACCATCTAAAGGTATTGACACGGAGAGGTGGGGTGAATATGGCCCTAAAGTATGTATAACACACATTCCCATCGTGAGCAGACTGCCCTCAGATGGAATCACCGTGTGTTAAAGAGCATCCCCTCTCCTCAATTTCCAGCACTCATTTGAACTAGTCTACTAAATTGCTAGCTCCACGTAATGAAAAATTTTCCGGAAATTGATGGAATTTGCCATTATAACAAAAATGTATTAACCATAAAACTTTATTCTTTTACAGAGCTCCTTATCGAAAGCCGAGGTGGAAGGTGAGTGAACTTTTCATGTCCGACACACCTCGGAAGCGTGACAAATTTGAGTCTACCGGTTTTTCTTGCATTCCAATATTTTTCCTTACATGTAGATATTCGGGAGGTCTTTGATCTGTTCGATTTTTGGGATGGTCGGGACGGAATGATTGATGCAGTCAAAGTGGGTGACCTTCTTCGATGCAGTGGTATGAACCCAACCATTGCGATATGCGTGAAACACGGTGCCACAAGAAAGCAGGGTATGTTACATTCAACAATAGTTTTGTCATTTCTAAATGCAAAATCTTACTCATATTTAAGCCATATGCTTTCTTTTAGCGAGCTTCTGTTATACGGTGTCCGCAGGAAGTAGAAACCCTGTTACTCGTCGTTTTAAATGGTCTATTTCAACTCAAAAATCCGATTCTCTCAAGTTAAAGCATCGTTAGTCCATTTAAACTACATTTTGCTTCGCAGATTTTACTCAAAGGAAGTACATTTCACCCGAAAGCCATATTTTTCACCTAAGAGGCGTGGATAAACCGATGTGTAGTGGATAGGTAGAGTGTCCTTTGTGATTACAAGACAAAATTCGATTTGAAAGAATAAGCTGAAACTGTTTCTCAGCCGTTCAACTTTGATGTTCAACGGGTACGATATCTTGTCGATATCGCACGTTTGAAAAATGGCGACAGCCTGCTGAAGAGGATGAAAATCTGGTAGAACGGATCGGTTTCGGGGCTTCGGGTGACAGATTTGAATGATTGAATGTTTAGAATGACTGCTCTTGATTATCAAAAGGCATCTTCCAGTTGTCACGGTCACACCATTAAACGAGACTTCAATGTTTCCATGCAAGACATCGCCCACGCTCAATCTCAGTTGATGCGCAAGTCTTTAGATATCAGCTGCCAAGTATTTGTAAACGAAACGGGATAGTCTAAGAATGCTCAGAGCTAACGGGCTCGTGCAAATGAATCACACTGCTGATCACTCACCAATAGAGACAGGCACTTTGGTAAACGCAATCAAATCCAGTAGGCTGTCTGTGTTAGTCTGACTGTGAACCTTGCTGGCTCAGGTTGGGCCACACAGATTGCTCGACTTCTAATTTTGGTGCGAACTTGTATCAGGTAACAAAGCTTGCGGCGTCCTGACAAAATATCATCATTGGGCACAACTCGGAACTTATATTCCTGCCCAGAAAATATATCGTCTCATATTTAAAGAAATTAATGTTTAGATGCCAGTATGAATCATGGAAGAAGTCAGGTTTCTGCTCAGTGCATTTTCGGTAACACACTTAGTGAGGGATGCTTTCGATGCAGTTATAATGTTTCTCTATAAAGTGCACAACCAAACTCACAGTTCCAAACTTGAAATCCTAATTTTTTTGAGTGAACGTTATTCTGGAACTCGTAATATTCACAAGATGACGTTCTTACGCCAAATCCACGTTTTGCGTAAGCGATTGTCGGTCGGTGACAACAGTTCCCCGAGATGGCTCACCACAGGAGTTGGATGTATCGGGTCTCCCAGGGAGCTCTCTTTTGAGGTATCACATTTATGGTCATGTCTGATGAATGCTTCACAGAATAATTATTTTTTCACTGTTTCTGTTCAATTGCTCAAAAATGCCTTTTATATGTATGAACCATTGGTACCTCTGAACTGGGCATTTTTTACGAGGTTCGGTCTTTCCAGTCGCCAGAATGGAAACAAATGTGTGATGTAACTGTCTTCATCTCTGTTAAATGAAAATCTGGATGGGTTCCTTAAGCAGTCTGGAATTAGGCATCTATGCAATATTCATGAATTCCAGCTCACTTATACGTACTTATCCCAGCGTAGGCATATTCGGTCTGATATTACGTACCAGGCTTTGCATAAGTGGAACCTGTGCGTACGTATAAGAACAACGGTTGGACAGATAGCGCATAACATATTGGTGCTCCAAATCATGGGGGGATTTGAGGCCTTCCAAAAATCTATACTGGAATCGCAACAAGGTACTTTATAGGGGAAGGATATGAGTTGCAGCTATTTGATGGATAAAGTGATGATTGCAATTGTTGACGTGATTTAATTAATTAACTAAATTTAATTAATGTAATTGAGTAATTAATACATCATTCCCACGTTGCACTGAACACACCCGTCTGCTTCACATAGTTTGTTTATTGGAGATGTTTGAGCTGTTGAAGTGAACCGTGGGACCTAAAGTACTTCGTCAAATCACGCAGTCTATTTCTTGTGAGGATCGACCCCTTACGGAAAGACCCAGCCGTTTTTAGTCGATCGCTTCTGCTTCTAATGAGATTCCGTCAAAAGAGCTAATATTGACCTCGTGAAGTATAGGCTACTCTGTTTCAAAGGCGTCTTACTCGGTTTGAGGGTCGTACACCGGTAATATTAAGGAGAGTCAGTAAGCATTAGAATGGTCGAGCATCAGTATGATTATGTACGTTGGGTCACAGTTTTGCTCAACTACGTTTAACTCGGTAATCAGGCTCCAAGCTTCCCAAGCTTCGTGTGCCATTTTGGAGTGGTTTTTGAGCCAGCAGTCACTTTCTCAACAGCCCCATTGCGTGTAAGGAGTCTGATTCCGAAGGCCGAAAACCTACAGTTCATTAACTAAGCATGACCTACATGGACCGGACTTAGCAAAATATGGTCGAAAACAGCTTATCAGACATTGTTTGAACAGTCACGTGAGTAATGTCGTGGTCCAACAGTTAATCGGACCACGTCTTATACTTCTTCAGCCTCTTCAGATTCAAGTTTGGCCTTCGCTCTCAAAAATGAAAAGAAAGAGTAATTGCTAATTTAGTTCTTGTGTATTCAGCAGTTCTGGAGGTTATCGCAATGCTTCGCATCAGCACTATTTTCTAGTGAAAGTTGCTTCATTTGTCTAAAATTGACAGACAGTACTTGTTTTAAAATACCTCTCTGACCATGTCCAGGAGACTGGCTACAATTTGGTCCGCAGTACAAATCCTTCTGTAAATGCAGGTGGTGTTAGTAAATTTTGCAATTTTCAAGGGACTCATCGTCCTGCTGCTTTTGGGCAGCTTTCTGCGCGCTTCATAGCACAGATTAGTTCTACTCACCGGACGCGATAATGGTTTGGAATCTCAGACGTGCTATGGCTGCCCATTTTGAAGATGAAGGTCTCAACTAGGCTTTATTCGAAAGCAGTAAGATGTCTGATGTTAGTCAGTGGGGGTTGGGTGACCATGTTACCTCAATTGGTGATGAAACGTTTGCAATCAAACTGCCAAGTTCGCGAACACACGAAAAACCGGATTAAGATATGACATGTGGCAAATTACGGAACACATCCAAATTGACTCCACTCCAGACCAAAGTAAGTGTGTTAGACCTGTCATAAACTGACTCACGTACGAATAGTAACACTGCAATCAGACGGGACACCCGGATATAGCTAGCATTCCTGTGAATGTGACATTTCGTTGAACCTAGATTTGTCTCTTGGGTACGCATTAATGTCATTCTGTTTGAATCGATACGGCTGAAACATTTATAACCTGAGTAAACAGAGCTGAGTTAAGCATCCGAAACCAGACATATGCGGTGCATTGAACAGTTTGCTGTTATCTGTTTGACACAAAATGGGGAAGTGCATAATTTGTGTTAACTGTGTGAAATGAAAAATCAGTAATATGGGACTTGAATCTGTTTTATGGTCACTTCTGAGGTTTGGGGCCTCGTGTTTTACCTTCTACGAGAAGAAGGTTCTTGTCGTTTTGTCGTGGATTTCACGCCAGCCCCTTTCATTCGGGTACCTGTAAATTTTGCGCTTGGTTTGCAAAGTTCAAAGGATAAACCAGTAATTTTGATGATTTCTTAACTGGATAGGCTTAAGATATTTTAGGCAATTTAGGTGCTGTGTTTAGACTACCACATCCAATTCCCAAGGTTCTTCATCAAGTCTTCATTTATGAAAAGAAGGGTTCATGTCAAGGGATGATGAAGCTACACTTTGGGGTGACTCTACTTCTGAATGAAATCATAATCGTTTGAAGACACTCTGAAATAACACCCTTTCCAAATTATCACTTTTTTCCTCAGGGGAGAAACAATACAAATTTGACGAATTCCTTCCCTGTTATGAAGCTATTCTCAAGGAAAATGAGGGTGGTACATTTGCTGACTATATGGAAGCCTTCAAGACTTTTGATCGTGAAGGTCAAGGATTCATCTCTGCGGCCGAAATGCGGCATGTGTTGACTGGATATGGTAAGTTTTTCAACGATCTTCAGCCGAATACTTTGTGGTTACAGGTGAATACTTGGAGGACAGCGACGTAGATAAGATAGTCAAATTGATTGATCTCCACGAAGATCTTGACGGCAATATCAAGTATGAAGGTATGCTCAGAATTTTTTCTTGGCGTAAATAACCTTTTTTTTCTACCTTGTCAGAGCTGATAAAGAAAGTTATGCAAGGTCCATCAGCAAAATAAACGTGCACCAAAGATTCACCTCAGTTCTTCATTATTCTTACCCTTGACTCACATTCGAAAAAAAATTCACGGTTTTTTGTCCACCTTTCGAAACTAAGTACCATGTGTCACTATCTATCCTCATTTAGATTCACCGTCATGCTTTGAAAAGAAATGTTTTCTGGAGATCGGTAATCCTAATACCAAACCCTGTGTAATTGCGCCATTGCAGGGTTTGTTGTGTGAAGTTTTCGAAACTTTTGCCTTCGGAAAAAACATTTCTATTAAACCTTCTTCGTACCTTTGTTTTGCTGCCTGCCCTGGCAATCTGCAAAATAAAGAATGCCTTCATACTGATTTTATTTTTAATTTATATTTTGCGGTGTTCGTCCACCAGAAACTTTAGGTGAATCAGATGCAGCCAGAATATTTTGTAACTGAAAACCGTCTACCACCGGTTGTGAAATGAATAGCCTTCAAATGAATGTGCTGCACACAGGCCGCCTCATGTTTCAGTTGGCAGGATATTCGAGATATCGCAGTATATTTTCGTAGAGGAAACTACTCACAAGGTTGCTGAAAACTCTTCGAGAGCCCACAACCAGTTTTGGTCTTCTTGAGGCTCATCAGGTAGCAGCACATTCAGTTGAAGAATATCACAAACATGAGATTCAATTGAATCTCCCGTGACGATCTAACTGATTTGCAAGTGAGTGTATTTGTCAAAACCAATCGAATTTCGGTTCAAGTAGATCATAAGGTTGATGGAAACTTGGGGACTGCACTTACTTGATGAGCCCCAAGAAGGGCTATCGAGGAGTTTTAAAAAACTTGTGAGTAGTTTCCTTTATGAAGAAATTCATAGTATTCAATTCTTCGCTCCACACATGGTTGCAAAACAGCTCTTGTTTCGCCCTAGCAGTTTACTGTCAGAATACGGCCTGAGCATAGAAAGAGTTTGGACCGAGAGAGAGAGCGTGTGAGAAAGAAACTACCCGTTACATCCAATAACCAATCCCTGGAATTGTAGATTATTTGACCACACTTTCAGATCCAAAATGATTAACAGCACCGGATCGGTACCCTTTAGATGAATTTTTGAAGTTCCTCACAAAGTTATCACAGCGGGTAGTCATTTCGAGGCTGCTAATACTCGGATATTTCTGTTGTTCAACTCTTTTTCCTGCCTAAGTATCTTACGGACGTCTTCGAAGGATTAATATTCCAATTTTAATGGGATTACCATTCTTTGGCTTTCTTGTTTTAGCCCTTTCATTAGGAACCCAACTACTTGTGAAGAGTTGGATAAATGTCTATTTTTCTTGGTACTCAGGAATGTTGCGACACTTAACCGGCCCTGCGCTCGGAGTTATCATGTTATTACGATAACCAGTCCTAGGAAAGCTTTTCACTGAGCAAACAAAAACAGGGGTCACTTGACGCTCCTTGAACCTGTTAGATAGATTAGCAGAGGATATGAGGTCACGTCTTATCATTCAAAAGTGCCATGACTTACCATCTTTGCATGCCACAGACGCATGGTTTTTGTAGGTCGACACCCCTTCAATTCAGAGCCCATGCAAATTGGAATGTTGACGCCGGGGTAGAGCTACCAAAGGTCAAGTAACCAATTTAAACGAGGACCTGAAAAGACGGAGTATACAAGCTTACTAGGCTATTGAACTAATAAATGAACTATTGAGGACATTGCTTCAAGCCGCACACGATCTTTGGAACTCCACGCTGTTTCCTTACATTTCTACCTGATGGAGCACGCCAAAGCCACTAATGACTCTCTTTTGTGGCTCCGTTACAGGGCCGAAAGTTGCTATTGATATTCAAACGGCACTAGATGCGAATCGATTCAAGGCTAAGGTAAAACAGTGCGGTCGGAAATAATCAGCAGAACAGCACGGATGTCTAAACCAAAACAGATCTTTTCATTTAGCTGTCTAAAGAAATCAGGGTTAAGCTACGGAATTCTCTGGTTCAAATAACCAGAGCCCGGCGCAGTATTTAAACCGTTAAGTTGTTTTACTAACGTTTCAGCTCCGAAGGTGAAGCTACCGCATGACATAAACCTTGGCCAAGTTGGCTTGAAACCTAAGACGTTTTAAGGAACTGAAATTTGCGTTAAAGAATACTTTGATTCTCTATGTAAAGGGACAATAAACCATATGTTACTGACTAAATGTTTTTGAGGTGACTGTTAATTATCCGATACAATTAAGCGTTTAATTGTTCGTAGCTTGTGGTTCACACTTTAGCGCAGAAGTTGGCGTTGTTCGCTTGGAAAAGCTCACAGCAAATCCCTTTGGAAATGTGAAAATAAACAGCCGGAATTCAGTTGGTGTGAAGGTCACATTTATATGCAGTGGGTCAAGCTCATGATTTAATAGAAAGAATCAAAGCCATGGTTATGATAAAGATGACTTTCATAATGAACAGCAAAAGGTTCGCGAAATGCTTGGTTGGTGATCATCAGTATTCTTCAGATGAGTTTACTGTTTCCAGCGGACAATAAGGCATGTTGTTGCTACCTATAATTGTATTGATCTTATCTAACCTGTTTAAGATAACCTTCTTATGGGTTTGCCAAAACCAAACAGAATCAGAACAGAATGCGAACGCTGCCGGGTGGACGAAGCTAGAACTGGGTGCTCACCAGCTGTTCTGATTTTGTTGTCACCGAGAAATGGACTTGAAACGGACTGGGGATCCGCTTACGAGAGTAGTACGTTGCAAAATTCTGATTTTACAGACTGAAGGTCGACCAGTGGAACACACTTGGTGGGTGTGGAATGACTTAACTCAAAATGAGCTTCACAGTATAGTATATTTGTACATGTGTATTTGCGTACATGTGCTGACATTGACCTGGACCCACTCACTGAGTTCTGAGCTGCGTGGAGTGTTCATGAAATTTTGTGCGCTATCGATGTTTCCGTTAAGCGGGTCGGGGCGAAATTGGAGAAGAAACCTCGCATAGCTTCAGGAGAGATCTCAGCTTATTGGGCTACTCATTGGGGCCCATTGAAACCCTACTTGAGTGAAGAAGGAAACTCCAGACATAAGGAAGATGTGGACGCTGGCATTTGTATCTTCTCTTCTGGAAGGATAAAATTGCGCATCTGAGGACTTATCGAGAGACAGTCCCTATAAAAACGAGTATAAATTTCTAAGACTGAGACTGTCTGGCCAGATACACGCAATAACCGGATATTGAGGTAGTAAAGAAAATGTACCCAAGTTTTCGGTCTACTTGGAATCCGAACGAAAGAAGGTGGACCCGGGAAGTCATTATCCATGAGTTATCCAGCAACCACTCCTACTGTCGGTCACCCTATCAGCGTTCTATAACAAGTGACCAGGTCAATTAGGTGAGCGTGTTCTTTGTTGGATCTACCGCAAGAGCTGTTCAAGATGGAATCTATCACCTGCTTCTCAACATTGGTAATGGGATGACGAAATTCCCGAAATCACCTCTCATGAAGATTCATCGAAAGTCGGCAGCAGCGGATCCAAAGCGCAACTTGATAGGTATCATAGAGAGAGCCGACGCCTCTAATAAACCCAAGCGCCATCCCAGCTTGAAGGATAGATAAATCCAATGTGACATCTGCAAAACCTTGCTTCAGCCCAGTTGTACCTGGATCTCCGGTCTCTGTATTATATAGCGAATAACCGGTTGGACTAAACATATATGTTTTGCATACAACTTCTCATGGACAGCCATATCTGTGGTAACCATCTCGGTAAATTCGACTAGGTAAAAACACAACAAAGAGCGCTAGTGGAGGATTCCACCAAAAATTCTGATGTTATTGTGGTGCGAAAAACCTCCAGGATGGTAAAATATTTCAAGAAATATTGCACCACGGATTGGAACACAGACCAATCCTTAAGTCAGATTATCCAACTTGACTTTATGTAAAAATATGGCAGGGGAATGATACCGCTCTTTGGTTGTTCGTTCACCTCGCAACAGTATGTGAAAGGGAATCAAAGTAGTAGGACCACTCACATAACGCCAGAACTTTGTAACCCACCTAGGAGGCATCATTCCCGTAAATACTTGATTGCTAAACTAGAGGCTGCAGAGAATAGCGCAAAGGAGAGAGATGAATCAAGATATTTCACTGGACTAAATTAGGTCTGGGCAACATAATGATATCTCTACACGGAGGAACTAAAGTGCGATTGTCTATGGACTCTTGGAGCAAACACGAACCAAATGGTTAAAAGCTGTTGGATGCAGAAGTAAACATACGACGTGGATGGCGCTTTTGAAAAATTGGAAATTCCCAAGCATCCTCTTGAAGTTCCCTGAACTTTCTTTGAATAATAAAAAAATATAAACCAACATCGCAAGGTGGTTCCATAATCTCCACAGCTTGCTTCACATTCCGTCAGAAACGGTGGCAAGCCTGTACGCACTTCGTCAATCGCATACAACGTTACGCGCCCTTTTCTTCAAAGATCATTTGCACGCTATTGATATTCCACTTGCCTCAGTTGGGTTGGTCTCAGAAACCGGTCTACTGGTCACCCCCTGGTGTCTCAGGCAACTTTTGACGTTGTCACTCGTTTACTCTTTTCCATCCCTGGCCGATCTGAATGGTTTAGGCTTCCTTCATGCGCGGTACCAATGAAAGGGTCTTGCAATCGACTACTAAAGTTCCGCGAACTCAGTCCACCCCTTCTAGGATTATGATGATCTTTCCATTTGGCATTCTCGCCTACAAGGAATGGCCGTATCTTTCGACTTGCCGTTTTCTGTCTAGTTGGCTTCTGAACGCTGATAACTTATCTCGAGCTCTTTATCTCTCCTAGCTGTTCCAGAGACAGGCGCGCTCTCTGGCACAGCCCAATTTCGTAACCACTTGGGAGACGCGAATGTTAACGGTATATGCCTGTGGTTTTGTGGATTCGCCAACGACAATTCCCAGTCATCACTTTGCCCGCCAGCCACTCCTTAATCTTTGGGTTGTTGCGTTCGTTTTGGCCATTTATTTGCAGGTAGTAGGGCACCGTCCTTGAGCGCCTTGTGCTCAGCTGCTGCGGGAAACCGCAGAAATCTTCGCTCTCAGAGTAAGGCTTTCGATCACTTTTGGTACTCTGTGGTTGGTGGTGTATTACCGCTCTACTAACTGTTGCCGTCCGGTGATTTGAGAAGGTTGTCGCCTCGAACCACTTCGACAGGTGTTTTGTCATTATCACGGCATATTGGTTTTTACTACGTGTCACCGGAAATAAGCCCACGATATCAAAGGACCATAACTCCTCAATCTCGGAAATAGGTATAAATTCCATCGTTCGAGTTACCTTTGTCGTATCCTCTTTCACCGTTTGGCATC